GGTCAACAACATGCGGAATTTGAACAACATTGGAGCTTATTTTCGAATGCTTTTATAAGAGCAACGCGCAGTGAAATGGAGGAACTAGAGTTTATTTGTCATAAGGGTAGATGTGATTTATGCATGACACGAAGTTATTTGCTAGTCTCGTATGCGAGAATTAGCATTTGCATGGCATAGTGCAGCTTTCAGAGGTGAGAATTAAAGAAAAAAAAATTCGGGGGAGGGGCCCCCAGAACCACACCGCCCTCTTCAGGGACCCATTCCCGAATCCCACCCCCATTGTCAATTTTTTCACTATTGATTTGACAGATTTATGTTTCTAAATATTGGGGCGAAGCTTAACTTATTGACTCACTCGCCAGTTTTGGCGAGAGGTTTTTATTTTAAAGCTCTAACACTGTACTACCGGATTTACTGTCGGACTCTCTGATTTGACATATATCGCCAATTTTCCAATTAACCAAACAGAAAAGAAGAGAATTCCAATAATATGATTATGACTGAGTTTAGCATGGAGAAACGGGCAGGAAGAGGAGGCCAATCAGTTGAGTTATAAAACAACCTCAGAACAATCAGACAACCAGTTTACTAATTTCCTCTTAGTGTATTTGTGACGGAGTGGACATATACGCGACGCCGGGCGTTTCGCTGGCCGAATTTTCTTTTTTTTCGATTTCATTATATGGCTATAACCCGGCGGCAGGTGGATAAGATTTCAATATGGCATATAACGCCACAGGCGGCCGTCAATGGCCGACTCATATGGCTAGGAATTGAGGAAGGGGAGAAGGAGAGAAGCTGCGTGGAGAAGGAGAAGGTGGAGAAAGCGGGAAGGTGGTGGAGAGAGAAAGGAGAGCGGGAGAGAAGGAGGAGGGGAGAGGAAAAGTGATGGAGAAGGAGAGGAAGAGGGAGAAGGTGATTGGAGAAGGAGGAGGGGGAGAGCTGGTGCAGGAAGGAGGCGGGGGGAAGGGCAGAAGGTGGTGGAGAAGGAGGCGGGAGAACAGGGGGTCGGTGGAGGAGGGGGGAGAAGGAAGAGAAGGTGGTGAAGGTGGGAGAAGAGAGTACGGTGCGGAGGGGGGGAACGGAGAGGTGAATGCGAGGAGGGGAGAGGAGAGGCTGGCGAGAGGGGGAGAAGGCGAGAAGGTGGCTCGCGAGGAGGGGGAGAGCTGGTGGAGAAGGAGAGGAGAAGGAGGGAGAGGGAGCTGGTGTGAGGAGGAGGGGGAGAAGGGAGAAGGGATAGGGAGGCGGAGAGAAGCTGGTGGAGGAGGAGGGAAGAGGAGAAGTGGTGCGAGGGAAGAAGCTGGTGAGGAGGAAGGGAGGAAGTGAGAAGGTGGTGGAGAATGAGAGGGAGAAGCTTGGAGAAGGAGGGGGCGGAGAAGCTGGTGGAGAGGAGGAAGGGAGAAGGGGAGTGGGAGAGGAGAGAGAAGCTGGTGGGAAGGAGACGGGAAAGCAGAAGGTGGTGGAGAAGAGGGAGGAGAGGGTGGTGGAGAAGGAGGAGAGAAGGGGAGATGCGCGTGTTGAAAGAGAGGAGGGGAGAAGCTGTGAGGAGGAGGGGGGAAGACGAGAAAGGTCGGTGGAGAAGAGGGGAGAACTGGGTGGAGGAGGAGGGCGAGAATGGGAGAAGGTGGGAGGAGGGGAGAATGACTGGTAGAGAAGGAGAAGGGTAGAACTGCGTGGGAAGGAGGAAGAGGGAGAAAAGAGGGGAGAAGGAGCTGGTTGAGGGGAGGAGGAGAATGGGAGAAGTGCTAGAAGGAGGAGTGGGAGAAGGGAGGGTGGAAGAGGAGGGAGAGCTGGCGGGAGGAGGAGGGGGGAAGGAGAAGGTGCTGGAGGAGGGGAGAAGCTGTGTGGAGAAGAGGAAGGAAGAAGGAGGGGAGAGGGAGTGGGGAGAGAGGGGAGAAGGGAGAAGGGATAGGAGGGGAGAGGGAGCTGTCGTGAGGGGGACTGGGTGGAGGAGGAGCTGGGAGGAGGAGGGGAGAAAGGAGAAGAGTGCTGGAGGGGAGAGCTAGGTGGAAAGGGAAGGGGAGAGGTGGTGGGAAGGAGGATGAGCGAGAATGCTGGTGGAAGGAGGAGGGGGAGAGCTGGTGGGAGGAGGAAGGGAAGGAGGGAGAGGGAGCTGAGGCAGGTGGAGGGAGTGAAAGGAGAAGCTGGTGGAGAGGCAGCGAGGGGGAGAGCTGGTGTAGCTTCTCCTTCGCACCAGCTTCTCCTTCACACCAGCTTCTACCAGCTTTCCCCTTCGCACACTTTCCTTCCTCCCCTCTCCTTATCCACCAGCTTCTCCCTCCTTCTCTCTTCTCCCCTCCTCCTTCTCCACAGCTTTCCCTCTCTTCTTCAACCATTTCCTTCATCCTTCCCCTTCTCCACAGCTTCTCCCTTTCTTCTCACAACTTTCCTTCTCCCTTCCTCTTCTCAACCAGCTTCTCCCTTCTCCTCTCCACACTTCTCCCTTTCCCCGCCTCCTTCTCACCAGACTGCTGTCCCCCTCTCTTCTCACAGCTTCTCCTTCCTCCTTCTCCACGCTTTCTTCCCCTCCTCACCACTTCTCTTTCTCCTCCTCCACAGCTTCCTTCTCCCTCCTTATCCCTTCTCCCCTCCTCCTCACGATCCCTTCTCCTTCCTCTCGCTCTTCCTCCTCACAGCTTCTCCCCTCCTCCCACTTTCCCTTCTCTTCTCCACCTAGCTCTCCCGCCTCTTCTCACCGCTTTCCCCCTCTCTCACCACTTCTCCCTCCTTCATCCACACCTCTCTTCCCTCTCCTCACCAGTTCTCCCTCCTCATCTCCAACACTCCGCATCTCCCCCTCCTTCTCACAGCTTCTCTCTTTCTCCACACTCTTCCTTGTCACCAGTTCTTCCCTTCTCTTTCACCACTCTCCCTCCTCACTTCCTTCCTTCTCCACACAGCTTCTCCCTTCTCCCTTCCTCATTCCTGACCATATTGAGTCGGCCATACGGCCGCGAGTGGTATAGCCATATTGAACTTATCCCCACGGCCGCCGGGCGGTAACCTATTGAGATTGGACCACACGGCCGCCGGTGCGATAGCTTATGAAGTTTATTCAACACGGCCGCCGTGCGTATATAGTCTCGGCCATTTGTGACAAGTAATTGCCTCAAATTAGTGCAACCCCTCCTGGGATCTCCCTCATAGTCATACATCCTTAAACGATCTGCATTGTCCTGGCCCTGGGGAGAACCCTCGAAAACGTGCCGCTGCGTCACTATCACTATCAGGACAGTTAGTATAGAGTATAGTTACGTAGGCCGTACAGTGTACCAGTAGTACTAGTAGTATTACGTACGGCATTTTCTTTACCGTTTTTGGCGTTTAAGCACTACACGCCTCAGAGTATGTACATCGATAAACTATAACTGATTATATGGATAAACGACTTCAATCGTAAATAATTAAGGAATATGATATTTACCTAGGCTATTGTATAAAGCACAATTTAAATGTTGTAATAAACGTTAAATGATTCAAGAGCATGTGAACATGTGAATACTTCGACACCTATCGCTTGTCACAATGTTTTCACGCGTAAATTTTGTACGGCATGTCGGCATAGACTGTAGGTGTACAGCGTAAATCTATTATTACTCTGAAATATTATATTTAAATTTCATGAAATGTTTGTATAAAATATTCTTTATTGTTTTGTTTAGGTTTATTGGGTTTATTAGGTTTTGAATAAACCCGAGTTTATGATTTTTCGCGTGAGGACGCGTGCGATACTTCCAGTAGGCACCCGGCGGCAGCACGTGAAGTTACTTATCATTTCAATTATATATTCAAATATCAAGTGGGTTTTCTCATGATATCATTGTTTTGCATAACAGAGTAATATGTGGTTAGGATTGTGTTTTTATATTGTTTATTGAAAGCTTAGAGAAAACAATAAACCGCTGGCAGTTCTAACTCTCTATGTAACTCTCCTGACCTAGACCAATAAATTGTGCACTAAAAATTTATATATTCTGATGTTATTTCAGGAATCAGCCTAAAATAACATCAGAATATAACATTTTTAAGGGCACAATTTATTGGTCTATGTAACTCCCTGTTCAGTTCTGTCTGATATGGTCTGATTCAGTCTCAGACATTCATTGTCATTGATTCAATTCATTACTTGGACCACAGGCTCTTGGAACGTCTCAATTAAAAAAAAAAGAGGTAAATGAACACGAAATTTATTTACTACATTCTCTCTTATTCATGTTGTTTGTGCACAGGGCGTGCGTGCGGTGTACTTGTGTGCACTGGCAGCAAGAACAAGTCGGCACCTGCAGCTACAGCACACATGCGTTTAAACAGAGGAATTGCTCCGACCTGTGATTGGAGGATAAAAATAGACACGCCCACTTTTCCATTTTTGGAGGATAAAAATAGAATTCGTGACGTTTCGTTTCACGCGTCATAGCCGCGCGTGTCGATATTGCTAATTAATTAGACTAATCGCGCTTCAATAGACTCAAAAATTCACAGAGATTAAGGCTAAGACATGTGTCGTTATAATAGCTAGAATTTATAGAAATGTAACTAAATCGTTCGCTCCATATTGATAGTTATTACACGTTCATACCGGTATAGCATAGCGTAATGCGGCGGAGTGGGCGGGGTCTATTTTTATCCTCCAATCACAGGTCGGAGCATTTCCTCTGTTTAGACGCATGTTACAGCACACACACGGCCATTGACTATATAATAGTGGAAGGAGCCGAAGTGCGTTTTACGTATCCCTCCGAAACCGTGCCGCGTGTGCTCGCGCGAATCGAGCTGGGCCCCTTCTGGACGTCCCGCATACATCCGTACGTTAGAACGCCGATTTTTCGACGTTTAAAGTGATTTTTCAGGCAATTTCCTAAAAAGTTATGTGCGCCGAAGAAACTTCGGCATTCATCGGCGGAAACCCGCATCAACTTTTTTAAGAGCGCAAAATCCGCATTGCGCATCCAGTCCAAGCAGAAGTACGTGAAATCACCTTGTTTGGATGACGTGCTCTCATCGCAAACCCGCACCAAATTTTTAGATCGCAAAGCCGCATGCGCCAGCTAATCACAGCATGTGATCACATGCTACGCCAACGTGCACGGTGTGTGCCGCCCGTGTGTACAACTGTACATGTATGTATGGTATTGTGTATGTGTGTGTGTGTAGTGTGTGGCTGTGTGTGTGCTGTGTGTGTGTTGTTGGTGTGTGTGTGTGTGTGTGTTGTGTGTGTGTGCTGTGTGGGTGTGTGTGTGTGTGTGTGTGTGCGTGTGGTGTCGTGTGTACAACTGTACATGTATGTATGTATGTGTGTGTGTCGTGGCGTGCGTGCGTTGCGTGCGTAGGTGCGTGCGTGCGTTCGTGCCTTGTGCTGTCTGTGCGGGCGTTGTGCGTGTGCGTTGGTGTGTGCGCGCGCCGTGATTCGTGTGTATGTAAATGTGGTATGGCGTGCGCGTGGATGTGCGTGCGCATGCCTGTATGTGTGGTTGAATGCGGTCGTGAAGTGTGGCGTGCCGTCGCCGCGTGTGTGCGAACATTTGACAAGGGAGGTGTAACCGTGCCCGCGCTACCCGGCTCCCAATGCTCTCACATTTTAGACGCGTTCGATATGTCTAAGAGCAGCACACATACCACACGTATACATGCCATAACATTTTTGAAAATTGTGTTTAAAATATTAATGTGTTTTTCTCACCGGGTTTAATGATAACATAGCTATACTAAATGTAGAATTAAAGTATTAATAATAAGCATTTAATTAGGTGGGTCCTTCACCTAGCCATAGCAAGCCACACTAAAACGCACGTAACGCATGCACGCACGCCACCGGCACCGCACAACAAGCACACACCAAAGCCATTGCGGCTGCGGTGTATATAAACAGCCAATCACTGCGCGCACAGCTGTGGAGGCGAAACCCAACGAGAGACGACTGCAGTCTTGTATGTGTGTGTATGTATGTATGTGGATGTGTGTGTGTGCTGTGTGCGTGTCGCGTGTGCGCGTGTGTGTGCGTGTGTTGCGTGCGCGTGCGTGCTGCGTATATGTGTTTGCACGCCCGGTGTGTGTGTAAATGTGGTATGTGTGTGCGTGGGTGCGCGTGTGATTGTGCGTGCGTATGCCCGTATGTGTGTGAATGCGGTGTGTGCGTGCGGGCGCGCGTGTGTGTGATGTGTGTAGTGCGCGCGTGTGTGCAAATATTTGACAACGGGAGGTCTAACCGTGCCCGCCGCCGTCCACTGACTTCTAAGAAAATATATCTTCAAACTACTCAATACATTTTTTTTCAGAATTTCACTTATTATTCATGCTTCTAACCAGAATAATATTTTCAAAAAATAATATCTAAATAAGTCAAATTGTATATGAAATCACCTCATTTCCTTTTTTTGGAAAAATTATATGTCATTTTAAGGTAAAATTTCAGCATTTATATATATTAGACAACTTTTTTTAAACAAATATTGATATATGACTCGAGTCTAAATAGCAGATTTTTTCGTTTACTGTAAATACATCCTAACTAAAAGTGAGAGATAAATGGTAAACCGCCGATCCTCAAATCAGACCCCACTCAAACCCGTCTGAGACGGGTAATAGCTAGTTGACTATATATATATAACAACATGGTGCCTAACTCGCCGCCGCAGAAGGGACCACAACTCACCGTTTTCAATCAGTTACAACTCCGGTGTTCCTGCAGGTGACGCCACTTTCCAACTATCGTTGGAATCGCGGAAGACTGCTGAACAAGCTACACCCGCCATTTTGACAATCGGCCCGCCAGAATGCGCTCAAACACAGAAATTCCTCAAATATCCATGCGAAATGATCCTTCGAATGCTACCTATTGAGAAGCGGAGGGCCGGCTGCGCTGATGGGCTACAGCAACTGCCAGCAACAGTGTTTTGCCACTGAGCAGAAAAAAGCTGTAGGCCTGCAGGCCTATAGCTCCTAAAAGCTAGCAGGCCGCCAATTTTGGAGCAAAATTACAGTAATAAAAACAGCATATCATGTTCTTCCTTGTGTTAGCAGTCATTATCAATGTCCATAATCATAATCCCTCTGTTTTTCCTTCTCTCGTCGGATGACCTGTTTATGCTTCTTTGCCGGGGGCTCAAAATTAAGGAAATGCCACATCGGTTGTTATATGTAGCTCCTTGTAACTACGAGTCTACGACTCTCTACTTTGACAGCAGAGAGACAGACTGGTAGTCTCGTACACATCGGGGACTTTATGGGGTCTGGGGGCCAGAACATTTTTGAAAATGACTGAGATGCAATCTAGAGCCATTTCAGGCGGTACTCCAATAGCTTACAACTAGCAACACTTTTTGGGAAAAGGAAAAAATTATGTAAAATTACCTACTGTAAAATTTTGATGGCACTGGGAATTCCGTCTGTGTTGGGTGTGGTCCAAAGTAAATGTATTTTGTAGACATACAAGCTCTTACGTAGGGAAGCTTTTATTTAGCTACACCTGTATAAAATGTATATAGTTTTTCCAACGTTAAAAAACAATATGACACGGTTAAACCTGAGTGGTGCGACGAGGCTGTACTGCTGTTTGCATGACTAGTAAGTAAATGACGACGGCTTTGCAGCTACCAGTGACTTATGACATGTGTGTTAAAACTTGCAGACAATTATTATTTATTTACTGTATAACTCAACATGACTATATTACCTACATCTTCTTAATATTATTTTAAAACAGTATACTGATCATTTGAATAACTACCAGTGATATTATTGTTTACATCAGCAACGCTGAAATGCGCGGGGAGTGAAACTTACTCCACAACCTAGCGCACACGTGAACAGTGGAGCGTTACTGCAGCGACCCGTGCACGTAAATTAAACCCTGGCCAACACAATTAGGGTTCACCAGCTATCGATTTTTGGTATGCCAATGCTGCTACTACTGATTCAGGAACCGTGCTAACTGTGCGTCCGAACATCCCACGCACGTTTCTTGAATGCAACTAAAGTTGATTGCAGTGGGCGAACGCATTCGTTTACGTGTATGTCACGCTTTATCACGGATTAGTTTTCATATAAATACCCTGGAAGTTAATATGCATGAACAGCATTTTCTACAGGTAACCAGTTTCTCCAGTGTTTTCAATTTTCGGTGATCACAATAGCTGCAGGATCAGCGGGCCTGTTTTTATCAAAAAGCTGTAGGCCCGGCATCGAAACTGTCGGCGGCGGCCGGTGGGCCGACGTGAATTTCGACACTGGCCAGCAAGTCGGTTTGCCGAAGTTGCGCAGCCTGTCGACATTAAACTTGCTGCAGCAATCAGCGCAGCGGCCTACCGCTTCTTCATAGGTAGCATTCAAAGATCATTTCCCATTGAATATTTGAGGGAATTTCTGTGATTGAGCGCATTCTGGCGGGCCGATTGTCAAAAATGGCGGGTGTAGTTGTTCAGCAGTCCGTCCGCGATTCCAACGATAGTTGCGAAATGAGCGTCACCTGCAGGAACATCGGAGTTGTAAGTGATTGAAACCACCGCTGAGTTGTGGTCCATGCGGCGGTGTGAGTAGGCACCATGCTTGTTATATAACGCAATGCGCGTTGTGTTGCTGTAGCCGCAGGGCCGACTTGTTCTTCGCTCCAGTGCTTGGTGTTGCAATAAGCACTTTGACCGCCATTACGGGGTAATGGGAGCGCGAAATCTAGACCAAAATAGAGTAGAAAACATTCAAGACTGGATAGTAAACAGTTTTTTTTTTGAGACGTTCCAAGTGCCTGTGACTTGGACGGTCGTACTCGTAATTCGGTCCGTAATTCAATCGTACTATAATTCATAATAGTAAATAGTATAACTACTAGTAGTGAGTAGTACTACTACTACTAGAAGGAGTACTACTACTACTAGAAGTAGTACTAGTACTAGGTGAGGTAAGTATACTACCTATATATAGGATATTAGGGCCTGGGCGGGTTTACTCATTGACATTGATGGGCTAGTATATGTTATAACTTATGCCTCATTCACTGATTCAGCCTATGGTCCATGGGATAAGTTCTTTATATTATTTGACCAACAGTTTCAACATTACTTCTAGCTGCCCATAGAAATATGGCCAAACTATCCTTGATCTAAAATATGTGGTGCACTATAGTATAGCCTACAAGACTTGGTACAACCTGCACAGCTTAAAACAACAGAGACTTGACATTGTAGCTCTACTGCCACTGGTGTAGCCCCTTTACTCACACAGAGAAACTTCTATAGGCAAATGTGCCGAATTATTCTATGACAGAAATTCTAAACTGTAATTTTTTTATTGGAACAGAAATTGCAATCTTGATTTCAGTGCAATAGCTGTTACTCACCAGTGATTATTTCATTCACGTCACAAGCATAATAGAACAAACATTGCAAGTTTAGCATTTGACGAATTTTCGAACGTTTGGTGCCATGATATTTTTTATAAAATAAAAGATGGTAAAAGGGTTAGAGACAAAAAAAATTGGTTTTTATTACTCCTAATGCTATAGGTGGCTGAGTCACTGTCCCAATACTCAAACATGTTTTGTGGATAATGGGTAGAAATTGTGATGTTGTAGAGTTCATCCTGAGAAAAATCTGACAGCAGCCTTATCAATGACTGACGTCAAAGAAGAGCAACAGAATGGTGGGGACGGTGACAAGCTGGAAGAACCAACGGAGTTGGAGCAAAAGATTATAAGACAAATAGAGGTAATCATGCATGCATAAATGATAGAATTAGAGGATGCAGCATATCTCCCTAAGGCAACTATTATAAAAGACTAAACGTCCTGGTCCTCGTTGATTAACCCCTCCCCCCAACGCTCAGAGCCATACAGCAGTTAAAGGCATAATAGACCCATTGATTATGCAATGTAGTCGAATGCTAGAGTAACTGGCAGCTTGTGTAGTTAATAACTACATAACCTTACATCCAAACACGTATTAGCGTGTCCAATATCACTGCTGGTTACATTACAAACAAGACTTGAAATCGGTTGTTGATATTTATCAACATATCATTTATGTGCCGTAAATGTCATCCAGGAGTCGAGCGATGACGTAAAACATTTGTTCGGCCCGTATATTTTGGACGCCAGATGAAATGGACGTGCCAGTGATGGTTCGTGTTTCGTACATGGATTCCACGTTCATTACAATTATTGCTAGCGTGCCAGCTGAGCGCAATACAGCGGCAAGAGCTTTCAAGAAGCTGAACGGTAACAGCTGGAGATGATCTACCAGTGCGCAGAGATACTGCATGTAATGAACGTAATAAACACGGACGCTTCGTGTTTCTTTTTCACATATTATATGTTGCTTGTAATCTCAAGATCTTCGTATCTTCATTTATTCTCATAACGTAAAACCATAAGTAAAACCATAACGTACGGAATGTGCACTCAGACCACAAGGATCACAATCACTGATGATAGCATTACGTACGTCCGAGCATGCGTGCGAAAATGTCCGGTGCACTATAATCTGTATCACACCCGCTTCGGCGGCTGCGGTTTGAAACTGTAAACAACTGATTTATTTCACCGCGGATTTCAATTAGACATTTCTTAGTAACCAGCAGTGATATTGGACAAGCTAATAAGCGTTTGGATGTAAGGTTATGTACTTATTAACTACACAAGGTGCCAGTTACTCTAGCATTCGTCAACATTGCATAATCAATGGGCCTAGTATGCCTTTAAAAGTACTAAGAACATAAACATTTTATTTTATACATTTGTGGAAGGGTCCAGAAGAGTATATGAAAAATTGTATAAGTATTGTCTGTAACTCTATATGCTCTTAATGATATTGGTAATTCTGAATGTTCCCTGTTATGAGAATCATTGTGTTATTTTTCTTTTCCAGTACTACTTTGGTGATTCAAATCTTAGCAGGGATAGATTTCTTCAAGAGCAAATAAAGCTGGATGATGGCTGTATCCTAACCGCAGTCATATTTTATGCGAAACCGAACTGACTTATTAAGTAGAATAGCTAATGGCAGTGTACCATACACCATTGACTAAACAATTTTGTATGCTTATATAGGGTGTGTTTCCTTATCTAATTACTTTAGGGATTCCATTGGATACCATGGTCAAATTTAATAGGTTAAAGGTGAGAATGATCTGACCAATTGTGTATGTTTTGTGTGTTGTGTAGTTTTGTAAATGTATATTATCGAGAGTGAATTGTTGTATTTAATAATAAATAGACCAAGTTTGATCCATTAATTTAATTTGTCTGATACAATTATTATTGCTATTGTTTTTTATTACAATGTCGAAATTCTTAAAATCTTTCGTATGAACTCTCATAAATCTATATGGTGCATGTGAAAAATTATCTGGTCTAGTACCATTGTTCTGTAAAAATGCCTAATGAAGAAATTGGTTTTCTTAGGCAATATCTGAAGATATTAGTCTGTATGCTTCTGCGATGAAAAAGGCTAAGAGACAACTTGTAGAGGTAATTTTAATATTATCGTGATATTGTTGTGAACTAATTTTAGTAATTTTCTTAATGTAGTAATTAATAATGCAGTGTGGTCCACGAGGGGTTTTAACATGTAAGGCCGACAGGTTTGAGTTTTGAGCCAAAATGTTTGAAAATCACCGACAGGTTTGGATTTCAGACCGACAGGTTTGAAATATCAAAGCAAGAACTTATGCGTAGTCACAGCGCGCACTTGTAGCATACACTATTATAGTCTATTACACTGTTTTACTCTGTGTATGAGCTCCCACTTTTCTTACGGGCAGTCGAGTCATAAAGTACATAGATCTATGTATTCTGAGCTGCTTGCTCTGATTCATGCGCGCGTGCCTGTGTGTGTGCGTGCGTGCCTGCGTGTGTGCCTGCGCGCATGCGTGCGTGCGTGCCTACGCGCGAGCGTGCGTGCCTACGCGCGAGCGTGCGTGCATGCGTACCTGTGTGCGTGTGCGTGTTTGCCTGCAGACGTGTCTACGTAGACCCGTAGGGTTATAGAATGGTAATCCATGGAAAATCTTAATGAAATTCTTAATGTTAATTTTTGCGTGCCGGCACACTCGTGTGTCATTCCCGATTGTAGCTTTTTCCTCAATTCCAGGAAAGAGTTTTGCTGTCACACTCTCATAGTCCAGCGTTGCCCCCCCCCCCCATACTTCAAGCAATGCCGCCCCTGCCAGCAGGAACGTACGCAGCGTCGACGTGCACAGCCACAGGCAACACTGCCTCGCGGGCCGCTTTTTTGGCGACCTTTGAAAATATAATGTGAGAATGTCATGCGATAGCGCCCTGGTTCAAAGGATGTTGGGAATATTACACAACTAGAAATTTTTTAGTTGTCTAATCAGGCAACTAGCCAAACGAATACTTGTTCAACATAGACTTTCACTTGTCCTGAGCCTCATATCATAGCGCTTCGCAATCCGCCATGAATAAAAAACAGCTCACAATAGCTGCGTTCACACGAGACTCCGTATTTATGAAATTCGGTATTTGCGAGATACCGAATCTGAGACAAATACGGGACAGAGCGTTCACACGCTGTTTCGCGGCTCCAGAAATGCCGTATTTGCGAGCTGCTTTAGTACACTGGAAAAAAAATGTGTCCAAGCGAACAATCAAGCGAACAATGCGAAATAAACAATGCAATGCGCACCAACTGCCGATAAAATACGTAGACTGGTCCGCGCTCGACAGTTCCACTCGCGTTACACTGGAACTGTCGAGCGCGGACCAGTCTATAAAATACGGCTTCAGAAATTCGGTATTTAGCGTTCACACGAGAAATACGAGGTCCAAACGATTCGGAATTTCTCAAGCACGGCAAATAATTCGGCATCTGGGAAGCCGCGTATTTCTTGGACCGCGCATTTTGCCTCGTGTGAACGCTAAATACCGAATTTCTTGCTACGTGTGAACACGGCTTATAACCAGCCTATTTCATCAGATTCCTTCTAACAAGGAGGAGACAACAAACGGTTGCACGAGCAGTAGCATCACTGACAATGAAGAAATAGAATAGACAACCCACATTATTTTGAATTATAGGTCATCAATTTTGTGCAAAAGTGCTCAAAAATAAGGCTCAGATTGCACCAGAGAGCATCTAAAACCCCTAATCTTCCAGGGCCCTTAAGCGGGGCCTGGACCCTGGCCGCAAGGGACTTCGCGCTTCGCACTCATGATGTGTGCTTCGCGCACATAATTTCACATAATATCTAAAGTACTCCTCTAAAGTTCTCAGTTTTACATGTTTTAATTTTAGGTTGTGTACCACCCTGTAATGTGTGTTAATATTCTTAAAGGGACAGTAGCCTCTAGGATTTTACTGCATTCAACTGTACTTACTGTATAACAAATCGTCTATACCCACATGTATTTGTTACCAGATACCTAATTTAATTGTTATAATTAATTACACATCAACGCTACGAAATTTGAACGGCGACCGTGCTGCCACCCCAAAAAAGTTGCGTATTTGACAATATATTTTGCACGTTACAGACCGAGGGCTAATCACAAAAGTGGAATTATATTTATACCTAAATGCTATTTAACCGAACGATATCCATTTTAGGGCAAATTTATCCATATTATAACTGAAAGTGAAACTATATGTCATTTATAAGATATTACAATCCTTTTGCTTTTAAATGAATAAATAAGAAACACCCTCGGTCTGTAGCCCTTGGCTGGAAAGTGGTTTTGCGCAACTTATCAGATTGTGCGCTTTGAGTGGCGCCACTGTCGTTGTAATCAAACTGTAGTCGTTGGTTTTAAAACGTTTTTTTTTATATTTCTAATGGTGATTGAACCATGAAACTTTTTATGTAGCGTAATTATAACCAAAATTAGCTGAAAATTAAGAACCCTAGAACCTAGATTAAACTCTCCCTTTTATTCTTAATTCTATTAATGTCTTTCGGCATTTCTCCTTAAAAGCGTATTTTGTGATATGTTAGGCAAATACTGTGAGTTTGGTACAATATTTTTTGTGATATTAAAGTTTAGTTTTAAAATTTTCTGTATTAGAAGTGTATGAAATGTCACTGTGTTATGTTTTACAGGTTAGTGAAGACTGTCTAAAGATTCGCAGGTTTCCATCTAAACCCCTGCCAGAAAACACAGAGGAAAGAAGAGCTGACATAAAAGCCAGAAATATCTATGCTGTAAGTCTCAAGCACATGCTATTTTTCAAAGTTAACTAAGTAGTGATAGGGTATTTTATATACAATATGGTTCTCATCTGCAGGCAGCATGCAGGCTGAAATGTACAGCCATGAGCATTTTTGCAGTCCAGAAATAATCTTTTTAGTACAGGTTCACTAGTGCAAATCTGCTTTATTAGCAAACAGTTGTTTCCGCATACATTGTTTTTGCATAGTCACTGATACATTTGTGCTCTGAATATGTCTATGAGCATATCTATTATCACTATGATAGATATGTTCATAATGTGACAGAATTCGAACCCTGCATTTCCCAGCAATTTAAATGGTAACTGTGAACCTTTGAGTATCATACCCCCCCCCCTTACGCACACGCGCGCAACACACGTGCTCGCATGTATGTATACCAACATCACTAACCCTTTCTGGAATCGTGAAATCCCATTTAGCAGAAGAGTTCTGAATGCCAGCAGCCTGGCCACTTTCAACACTAATATTTCCAGACTTTTATTTATGATGTTTCTGTTTTTACAGAAAGGTTTCCCACTGGAGAATTTCTTGCTACGTGTGAACGCGGCTTATAACCAGCCTATTTCATCAGATTCCTTCTAACAAGGAGGAGACAATAAACGGTTGCACGAGCAGTAGCATCACTGACAATGAAGAAATAGAATAGACAACCCACATTATTTTGAATTATAGGTCATCAATTTTGTGCAAAAGTGATCAAAAATAAGGCTCAGATTGCACCAGAGAGCATCTAAAACCCCTAATCTTCTAGGGCCCTTAAGCGGGGCCTGGACCCTGGCCGCAAGGGACTTCGCGCTTCGCACTCATGATGTGTGCTTCGCGCACATAATTTCACATAATATCTAAAGTACTCCTCTAAAGTTCTCAGTTTTACATGTTTTAATTTTAGGTTGTGGACCACCCTGTAATGTGTGTTAATATTCTTAAAGGGACAGTAACCTCTAGGATTTTACTGCATACAACTGTACTTACTGTATAACAAATCGTCTATACCCACATGTATTTGTTACCAGATACCTAATTTAATTGTTATAATTAATTACACATCAACGCTACGAAATTTGAACGGCGACCGTGCTGCCACCCCAAAAAAGTTGCGTATTTGACAATATATTTTGCACGTTACAGACCGAGGGCTAATCACAAAAGTGGAATTATATTTATACCTAAATGCTATTTAACCGAACGATATCCATTTTAGGGCAAATTTATCCATATTATAACTGAAAGTGAAACTATATGTCATTTATAAGATATTACAATCCTTTTGCTTTTAAATGAATAAATAAGAAACACCCTCGGTCTGTAGCCCTTGGCTGGAAAGTGGTTTTGCGCAACTTATCAGATTGTGCGCTTTGAGTGGCGCCACTGTCGTTGTAATCAAACTGTAGTCGTTGGTTTTAAAACGTTTTTTTTAAATATTTCTAATGGTGATTGAACCATGAAACTTTTTATGTAGCGTAATTATAACCAAAATTAGCTGAAAATTAAGAACCCTAGAACCTAGAGTAAACTCTCCCTTTTATTCTTAATTCGTTCAAATGTCTTTCGGCATTTCTCCTTAAAAGCGTATTTTGTGATATGTTAGGCAAATACTGTGAGTTTGGTACAATATTTTTTGTGATGTTAAAGTTTAGTTTTAAAATTTTCTGTATTAGAAGTGTATGAAATGTCACTGTGTTATGTTTTACAGGTTAGTGAAGACTGTCTAAAGATTCGCAGGTTTCCATCTAAACCCCTGCCAGAAAACACAGAGGAAAGAAGAGCTGACATAAAAGCCAGAAATATCTATGCTGTAAGTCTCAAGCACATGCTATTTTTCAAAGTTAACTAAGTAGTGATAGGGTATTTTATATACAATATGGTTCTCATAGGCAGGCAGCATGCAGGCTTAAATGTACAGCCATGTGCATTTTTGCAGTCCAGAAATAATCTTTTTAGTATAGGTTTACTAGTGCAAATCTGCTTTATTAGCAAACAGTTGTTTCCGCATACATTGTTTTTGCATAGTCACTGATACATTTGTGCTCTGAATATGTCTATGAGCATATCTATTATCACTATGATAGATATGTTCATAATGTGACAGAATTCGAACCCTGCATTTCCCAGCAATTTAAATGGTAACTGTGAACCTTTGAGTATCATACCCCCACCCCCATTACGCACACGCGCGCGACACACGTGCTCGCATGCATGTATACCAACATCACTAACCCTTTCTGGAATCGTGAAATCTCATTTAGCAGAAGAGTTTTGAATGCCAGCAGCCTGGCCACTTTCAACACTGATATTTCCAGACTTTTATTTATGACGTTTCTGTTTTTACAGAAAGGTTTCCCACTGGACATGTCATTAGATGATGTGGTAGTGTTCCTGGAAAAATACGGCCCTGTCGAGTCGGTGGCGATGCGACGCACCATCGAGAGGAAATTTAAGGCAGGTGTACGAATATTTGTTACCATGAAATCGCGGAGGAATATTACTGACACTACCACTATTAATGAGCAAAATTTAACACATGAATTAATAAAATTCTACTAAAAACATGACATGCTTTTTGCATTTGACCAATTTTGCTCTATAGTAATAACATGCTTTTCATATCATTGCAGGGGTCAATTTTTGCACTGTTTGAGACTAAAGAAGCAGCAAAGAGTTTCTTAGAGTGTACAGAGAAATTTAATGAGAATGAGTTGCTGAGATTAAGCAAGTAAGCTATGGCTTCACATATAAATCATTTTGATGAAATAATTTTAATCTTTTGAATTTATAATGTTAACTTGCGATCCAAATTTCTTATTGACAGTAATTTAAATGTTCAATATCAGTAAATTATAGCGTTCACGTGTTATATTTTGAAGTCAGAAAAGCAAAGTAGTAATTATATGGATAGTTTTTCTGTACTATTACCTTCTCTTAATCATCTTTGATGACTTCATGTCATGCACATGTCTAAACATCAAATTACATGACAGCTTTAGATGTGTGGGCATGACTTGAATCACTGGGGTGAGAGCTTATATGGTTGTGGTATGTGCAATTATTTCAATAGGGAAGGATACTTTAATAAGAAGAATGCTGAAAAGAGTAAAATGAAGACCAAGCCAGCAGGGTAAGGCAATTCCCATTATACATTACAGAATGTCAGAACTTTGCGTTTCATCAGCAAGAACCAAGACGTGCAAATATCGAATGTGTAGCCCTTGACCAACAATAGAAATAGAAATGAGCTAGAATTGAATGAATCGGAACTTTTTCTATTATATAGCTATTATTATTTCTTTTTATATTTCTCCTTTATTCAAAAAAGCCATTTCAGCCCTTCAGTGACAAATTACATGCATGATGTATTGTATATTCGAAAGCAAGGTATGAGAGATTGGCAGAAGTAGAAATAGGTATTGGAAAGGTTGCAAATATTATCCAAAAGAATTGCAAAATGTGAAGTGGAAAAGCAATTTTGACCACAATCTAATACCTTGCTTTCAAATACCATGATATAGCGTGCATGTAATTTTTTGCTTAATGGCTTGAAATAGATTTGAACAAAGAAGAAATATCAGTTGTCAGAGCAACTTTGCCCATAACAACGAGTGCTAAATCTAGTTCTAAGAATTTTATAAGGTTCGTACTGGTCATTGGATACCTGGAGTTTCCAACATTGGAAAGTAATGTGTAATGGGATATCATCCTGGAAATTGAGCACATGTCTATTGTATCCATATCTTACCAATGATAATAACCAGTTTAATATACTGAATATCTAGCCCTCTTTACTTTCTGAGATAAAACTTGCTTGAGTTAAGAGAGTTTGTTTATTAAGAAGTGGTTCTAAGATACGAGGTACAAAGATTGTGTTTGGCTTAAATCTCGGTGTCCAGGAAATGTCATTGTTAATGTCCGGGATACATGCATTGCCTTAAATTGACTATGTCACGAATTTTCTATGGTGTATATTTGTAAAAAAAAAAATTCCCATTATTTTACATTAAAAGTAAGTACTAACGGGACTAAATGTATTGTCAAATTCTTACCTGATAAGATTGTTTCTCAAGTAGTTAAAAATCCAAAAAACCTTGACGGTTTGATATAATGATCCTGACAGTAATTGCTTGCAATGGGCTATGTATGAGTCATGAGTGTATGTTTACATCGAACAATATAGTAAAATAGGAAGTATAATACAGCAATTTAACCATAAAAAGTGAACAGAATTACTTACATTTTGTGAAAAGTGGAAATGTTTTTTTACTTTTACTATTTATGGTGACATAATCACTTTAAGTGTACAGACCTTGTACAGAGGTCACAATGTGATGTAAAATATCACAATGTTTTAAGAGATGTTGCAATGGTAACGGTTACTATGAACAGTCTGAATTGGTTTTGGATAAAACCTGAAATTGCTAATGCTATCTGTGTTTCACAAAAAGCATTTTGTGCAGATTCATCACTATATTATTTATTCAACAGAGATAAAAAGGAACCCGACAATGATTTCTCTGGAATTCAGGACAAGATAGAATTTGGAATGATTCTACACCTGACTGGCTTTGCTGCAGAATCCACCAGAGAACATATCAAGGAGTTGCTTACACCACATGGCACAGTAGCGTGGGTTGACTTTTCTAAAGGAGATAGTGAGGTACAGTGAATAATGTATTGTGTTTATGGTGAAAGGCTTCATATTGGTTTAAGTGCAATTGTGCATTACTCTCTCTCCTCCCTCTGCCCTCCCTCCCTCACCCTTTCTCCACTCTCCCCTCACACCTTTCTACTGTCCCTCTGTTTCTTTGTCTGTTTCTCTCTTTTCATCCTAGCTATCTATATCTCTTCCTCCCAATAGATATATACACATTCTGTTACTACTGATCCCCCTGCAGTCTGTATTCTTTAAAGTAGGCAGTTGTAACATTTTGTAATACGGTTATTTCAGGCTTGGGTGCGCTTTACTGGTGATCATAAGGCACAAGAAGTATTGGAGAAGGTGACAACTGCTGGCGAGGGCAAACTAATCGTGAATGATAGTGAGCTGCAAGGAAGTGTTCTGGAAGGTAAGCTACTCTGGTTAATACATAAAAGTTTTAATTTGTATTTGACATCAAACACATCTGACGGTATCACATGAGTAGTATAATCTCTCTCTCTCTCTCTCTCTCTCTCTCTCTCTCTCTCTCTCTCTCTCTCTCTCTCTCGTCTCCTCTATCTCCTCCCTCTCCGCACCGCTCTCCACTCTCCTCTCTATCTCTCTCCGTCTCTCTCATCTCTCTCTATCTCTCTATCTCTCTCTCTCTCTCTCTCTCTCATCTCTCTCTCGCTCTCTCTCTTCTCTCTTCTCTCTCTCTTCTCCTTCGTCTCTCTCTTCTCTCTCTCTCTCTCTCTCTCTCGTCTCTCTCTCTCTCTCATCTCGTCCTCATCTTCCTCCTCTTCTACTCTTCGCTCATCGTCTACTCATCTCCTCCTCTCTCTCTTCCTCTCTGCTCTCTCTTCTCTCTCCTCTCTCTCTCTCTCTCTCTTCCTGCATCCTCGTCTCATCCTCTGCTCTATTCTCGTCTCTCGCTCCTCCTCTTCGTGCGCATTAGTTACTTTCGCATTAGCTTTTGGCTAATATTGGTCCACAGAACCAGTCTATGCTACTTTTAAAATATTTCGTGTATTTTCTGACTCATAGGAATTTACAAAATAGTGATAAATTATGTGACAAATTTAAAAATACCTTTTCACCACTTGTTGTAATATAAGTTAGCAGCCTAACCAATCGCAAAATTGGTTTTGTTATTAGCTGAAGCCATGCCACTTTGGTTGAAACTGTTTATACGTGTTATATGTTATTTTGTTTAGTGTGTAATCCTATAGTGATTTATTTCAATTAAAAAAATTATCAGAAAATTTTGCTCTATCTTTTGAACTGTACAAGCTGTGTGGAACTATAGTTATATGTTATGAGATGTAGCAAACTGTAACTGCAGTTTTTTTGTAGAGATGACATCTGTGTTGAGAAAGCTATTATAATTGGGAGTTGTGTATAGCTTGCGCTTAGCACGCTACAATTCCAGTGAGTTTTCCACTAATGTGCTGTGCTGTTCTTTTTTGATAGGTGATGAGGAAACTACTCACTGGAAACAAATACTTGCAAAGCAGGCTGAAGGCAGAGACAGGAAGAGGCAACGAGGTATATAATATTGGTCACTTAATATAGGTTTTTTGTGTTATGTAAGTTGTTCAAAATTTGCTGCAGTGCTGCCACTTTATACTTTTTTTAAAGAAAATATACTTTTAGTTTCCCATATTTTTTTTTTTTACTTTTTTTTTTCTTTAATGCATAAAATGCTTCTTAAATATTTTTTTTTAGGCAAGACTGGTCAAAACTATTTCGGACTACATTAGGTACAGGGCTGTTTGATGAGATTAAAGATGCTGCATTTCTAGACTTGTTGCAGGAGTGATGTGTGCTCTTCTTGCTTCAGTGGAGGTGTTTTTGCTCTCAGTCTACTGGCCGATACAGTGACAAATGTCAAATGGAGCAATGGCGCATTGCAGTGTTTCCCCGTGCATTGACAGCAAAGCGAGGCGGCTGCCTCACTCACAATCTCAGCGCGCACACACAGAACTGACCGACGACACCCCCTAGCTTGCGCCAGCACGCTGCCGCTGGCTCGCTGTTAGCAGCATCTCGAAAGCGTGGCAAGCACAGTCACAAAACCGTTCACCCACCTCACAAGATCTTGTTGGCGAGGGAAACACTAGCATTGAAGATATTCCACTGAGAGTGTCAATCCTCATGGCATTGCAACATCCCATTTCCGCGAGCTTGCAACTGTGTTAGCTGCACATAGGCTATAATGGTATTCGTAACAAGTGACTATCAAATCATGGTAGTTTGATACACAATTTATAGCTTTTTTAATAGTTTTTTTCGACAATTTGATACTATAAGATAACAAGTTAATTTTTACTCAACCGTGCTGTTTGAAACGTAGCGCATACGTTTCGCCTCCTGTCAGGAAGCTTTCTCAAGCAAACTGAGTTGTAATCAGTTTTGCACCCCAGTAGGTCGTGAGTGGTAATAGCTTAAGTCACACAGTGACTATAAGCCTGTATTCCCCGCCTCAGGCCGGTTTGATGTTTGGGGTCTTTGCGGATTCCAGATGGCCTGCCTTGATACCTAGCGCCTGAATTTTGTTAGGCTCGGCAGATCGATCGATCTTCGAATTCTACGTCAATCGATGGGTGTGGTTGTCCTTCGCTACATGATCAGTGATCGGCGGATTTTGGTATATGTCGGTAGACTCGACTGTTTCGTTGGGCCCTTGTGGAGATTTGGGCTGCTAACGGAATGTCCTACAGTCTTTTGGTGTTTCTTTTAGGGCCGTGGTTTACAATTTTCGGGCGGTTTCTCACAATGTAACTCTTTCACACATAGCAACACGTGATCTTATAGAGCAGTCCGTAATGTTGTGCATTGTGCTGTTCTGTCTTATTAGGATGTACTAAGAAAGCGCGTTTTAGAAGTCTCAAAACGGTCTCATGTTGACGCACCCTGCATATTCAAGGTGACGCCTCGAACTACCCGAATCCGTCAAGACTCGCCCATCGGACGTAGGGTAGAGTAGCGAATATGGCTGAGCGGTCTCAAGAGAGTTAACAAATCCTTCTTAAGGGGTTTCAAAATTATAAATTGTAAGGCGAGTGAATCGTTATTTTTCCCCCGTGGTATAGCATTCCTTGACACACTATCTCATTTAATTCGTAGTGCGCAACTTGGATAAGCCGCATTATTCTAATGCGTTCTGTGATGATGGCGCACTTCAACTTCCAAATGCGCTCACATACTGCCCGTTAGTAATTTTGTCCAAATACGATCAGTAGTGAGCGTATGCAACCGTGACACTAGAACAGTTTGTGGTTGACTGGATGTGGTGTGATTGCACACAGTTTAAAGTACGTGGAAAGCAAACGTTTAGCATGGGCACATCCACAAAGTTTCAAATACCCTGCTCCTGGAGAAACTCCCGGAGCATGACCGACCGCAATCCCGTGCGTCGACTCGAGTTTTACATGAACACTGTAGCGCACCCAAATCTTCACAACGGAAACGCTCACAGAAGAAAAGCAGTGTCCTCGGCCTACCAGAACTCACGCAATCCGCAGATTCACTGAAATTCATCGTTAGCGAAGGGACATAATCCATCACCAATCGATTTGGAGAGATTCGAAGATCATTCGACAGGTTCACGGCCTAACAAAGGTGCCATGGTGAACAAATAGGTCCATGGCGCGGGATGCTACAAGAGGCCATACATTGGATCGACGCGGACGCCCAAAACCATCCAAAAACCGGGACGAAGGGGGTATACAGGCTGAGACTCATCTGTTGTCGAAAGACACGAGAGCATCATTTTTGTACCACCAACACCACTCTGGCTAGGTCAAACTGATTCAACTTACAAGTTTGCTTTGAGAAAGCAATTACCCATGCGACCAAGGAGGCAGACACAGTCAGCGGCTACAGTTTAACGATCACAACTTGACAGATGCGTCACGTCCTATAAGATGTAAAAATCCACTTTGTTATTTTATATTGATCTATGCTCCACAATCCGTAATGAATTCAAAAGAAGTATTATCTAATTAGTGAGAAATTAATCCTCGGATACTTTGTTCTCGACACATTCGAATACTTTAATATTGTAGAAATCAGACCGCCTTAATAACACTGGACGACCTAGCAAAGCAAGACTAGAACCTCAGAGCCATCCTGTTAGGGACCAGATCTTTACCAGCAAAGGGCCCAATCAAAAAAAGTCAGTACCGCTAACCGAAATCACATGACAAATGGCCGCGATCATGATTCTGCTAAGCGAAAAGATGCACACCAACCATACGATTTGGAAAATTAACTGATAGATTCATCGGTTCGGGCGAGCCCCTAACTAAAAATGATGTCAGCGTGTCTGGATGACCAAGGAAGGCCATCTGATCCGCAAGCCGCAAACATCACGCGCTAGGACGTTAAGAGGCGGTGGATACTAGCTGTGCAAGTCACGCTGTGGACCTAAGCTATTGACACTTTGTGTAGCACACCATCTGGTGGTCAAAACGTGAATTAAACATCAGTTTTGGCTGTGAAGAAAAGCTTCCTGACAGAGAGCAGAAAACTCAGCGGTACGGTTTCAAACACCAGCACGGTTAATTGATTAAATATTAAGCCTTTGTTACTCTATTAGTATCAAAATTGTCGAAAAAACTATTAAAAAATTTATAAATTTGTATCAACTACCAATTGAATCTGTAGTCGACCTTGTTACCGCTTAATAATTAATAGCCTATTGAGCCACTGCAATACACAGAAGCTCCGGAAAATTGTATGGTCGGTCAAATGCCAATGAGGATTTGACATTCACAGTGTCTGGAATATTTGTGCAATGCAGTGTTTCTCCCCAAGCGCTAACAAGATCTGTGAGTGGTGAACTTTTTGTGATGTGTTTTGACACGTTCGAATCCTCGCAAGCGAGCAGCGCAGGTTAGTCCGCCGAGAAGCTGGCTAATTACTAAGAAATGTCAATGTGAAAATCCCGCAATCTGTAAGCTGGCGCCAACTGCTAAATTGTTTGCCACAAAATAGTCCTGCGAATGGTTAGGTGATCGTCACATGTAGCTACGGTGTTGAAGCAGAGAATTTGTTTGTCCGGATGCTTATAGAACTACTAATAAGCCCATAGAAGTTATTGCTGGGTGTTTCTCGGTAATTGAAGGCACAGTAAATAGCCGGTGGTGCTAATGAACGGTTACCCACGAGTTCTTGCAACTTTCGGCACAGTGTATTGCGTTGACCAATATTACGTAAATATGCGTTATGCTGTCTGCTTTCATGTTTAAGTTCTGTTGGCCGGTGTCTTTTTAGTTTGCGATCCACCCAATGAGTGTGGACCCCACAAAGCCCTACTTCATATGTATCACGAGCGTTCGTGATTCGTAGCGTTGATTCGCAGCGTTCAGTAGAATCCGAAACTACTGTTACGTATACAGTTTACAGCTACGTACGTATCGCTAGCATTCGTGACGCTGCGAGCATGCGTGCGAGAATGGTCCGGTGCACTATAAATCTGTATCACACCGCTCTGTATTCGGCGTATGCTCGAGCAACGAAGTGCGGCAGCGAAATGACGAAAAACATGGCGCCCGCTCTGTATTCGGCTTTTGCTGCGTAGCACAAAGTCGGAGCAAACGATAGCGAACATGGCCCGCTCGTGTATTTCGCGTTGCTCGATGCAACGAAGTCCAGCGCAACGAACGCGAAACGAAGCGAACATACCCCATTCTCATGTCTTGCTGTACTCGAGCACTGAAGTCCGCGAGAAAGCGAAGCGAACAATGGCCGCGCTCTTGTATTCTTTGCTGCCGAGCAGCGAAAGCCCAGGAAGTCGACAGGCGAGAAGCGAATGTGAAGACATACCCGCAGTCTCATGGTTGCTTGCTCCCATTATAATACGCGCTCCGATAATCCCCTGTCCTTGGGATATCTATTTTCATATCTAATCCCCCTTCGAATATCTATAGTTCATATCTAATCCCCCTTTGATATCTAATTGAGATGACGATACCACCCCCCTTTTGATACTATCATATCTTAACCCTGCTCGATATGCGCCTAATTGTTACTGCGAATGCCAGGGCCGCCCGACCCGCGCCTTGTATATCTCTTTATTATACACGACAGATTAATGAACATTAAAGTGGGAGCGCTCTAATGGCATACCCGTTCGCTGGCATATGGTTGAAGTGTGAGAGGACCAACGATCCTTGGACTGCGATTTCAATTAGAACATTTCTCAGTAACATACAGTAGATATTGGGACAATGGATCTATATGACGCCGTGTTGGCTATAAGGGGTAATGTACTGCATGTAACTACAAAAGAGCGCAGTTACTCTAGCATTCGGGGCGAGCGATTGCATAGAGGAGAGTGAGGCGCGTAGGTATGCCTTTAATAACTAGATGACAGTGAGTGAGTCAGACCTTTGGTTGTGTTATAAACGGGTATGAGGTCGGAGCGAGAGCGAGGATCAGGGTGTGTGAGAGAGGTGGAAGAAGCGGAACAGAGGAGGTTTATGGTACAGACAGAACGACGGGAGAGGCCACGCGATGACTGGGTTCCCAAAAAGCAAGAAGACCCAAGATTTGCTGTATGGCGCTCGAGGATGAAAAGTAAAAAGTAGAAGGTGTATTCACCGAAAAGTAGATTCTCAGACCAGGTATTTCCTACCTCATAATTATGTGGCTATATTGTTTTCACCATTTTTTCTATTCCGTAATACTTTGATTATGAGTATGTCAGGAGTTTATTTTAAACATTTTATCACTTTCCAATAAATCTTGTGTAGCAACTATCAACGTGTGCATTCTGTCTCAGCATGTTTGCAGTGCAAATGTTAACATGCTGCATATGAAATTGCAGATACAAAGAGAGACCTAGCTGTAGGAAGCGTACTGCAGAAGAGTGCCACCTTCCAGAGTAAAGAATTAAAACTGACAGCGAGTGCAGCTCTGAATAAAAACAGAGTACACAGTGGTGTTATATTCGCATATATCTTGTCGTATGTGAACCAGCCTCTTGTGACGTCAGCGACTTGTTATTGGTTCTGTTATGGTCTGTAAATTGGAGTTATCACTGTAGATTTTTAGCATACAGCATATTGTATCACATTGATTATAATGTAATCATTTATTCTGTTGTAATGTGGCTTCGTACACATTCAAATACTTTTAATTTCAGGCTTACATTGTAAAATGTTCACAAAAGAGGCAAAAAATCCTAGAATATTTGAGGTTTATTAAATTCACTAGCTTGTATCTTTGGTGCTTATAGCGCAGGGTAATATAATGTCCAATACAAAAAATAACGACCAACTAGGCAATACACATGACACGTGCACTCTGGTATCACATCGAACTTCAATGTATGCATAACACGCACAGTGCAATTTACACCGTTACTGTTGTGTTTTTTTTGTATTGTACTGTTAAATGGTTGTAACAAGTGGTTAGGGTGTCACCTGTTGACTCATGATCGGTAATGTTGGAAATGAAGCAGTCGCCAGAGATTTGTTTTTTAAATTAATCAGATTTATCCACAATAACCTTTCCATTATTTATACTCGAATGCTCATTGTGCGGAGTAACCGTATTTTTAGAAGATGCCGTGGTGCATACAAGAAAAACGCGCAAGCACATCGATCGCAAGAGTTCTTTGTAAAAAACGATTTATCGTGCAGCCTATTAGTGGTTCATTTGTCAAGACATTAGGGGAAACGCCATATCATAAATAGCATTTTTCTACAGTAGTTTTTTATCAACTCATAGATAGAGCCCTCAGTTTTCAGGTGAGTGTAAATTCTGACCATTTTCCAGGGGAAAAGGCTCCTAAATTCTGTTATTTTTCATGTGCTGTTCATATCGGGTTTTATTAATGATATTGGATGTGATACAAGGTGGACAACCTAGGCTAGGCAAACATTTGGAGTAAGTTTAAACTAAATCAGTAGTTTACGATATGTAACTAGTGGGTTTGTAATCAAGATGATTTCCCGTTATTTTACGTTAGTACTGATTACCGAATAACTGTGTAGCAGATTATGAAGTGCATTCATAAGTTACCAAGCTTCTGTTGTGAGTCGGTGTTTGTCGAGTCTTTGCTGTTTTATAATAAAACTGTATATGTATAGAAAAACTGAATGATTGCATTTAATTTAAAAGGAATAATGCACGACTGCTGGAATACAATTGTTGCGAGCGTGAGATCGTACGTTTTCACTAGGTCCTTGCATGAAGAGAGGATAATACTTATTACTTCGCCAGGGCTTGTCGAGGTTGTGGTTTCACCGGTGGTGTTTGCAGTGTTGGTTTGTGGTTTGTGTACGCTCGGCATGAATTGGCTGATTGGCCGGACGCCAACCAACTGCCGCCGCTGCGCCGGAAACGCTGTATCATACAGGTTTAAGCCTAACTAACTGAAAAAGTTATGGACGGGTTTTCATAAAATTTTGCCAAGGATACGTCAGAAATTGCTAACTTAGAATTGGAGAGATTTTTGGTGGTGATCCGGAATCAATTCAATTAATTTAATTCATACTCATTATTAATAAAAAATTGTAGGATAGGTCAGCAAATGGGGTAACCTTAGAATTGATTACACTTTTTGGTGTTGAATCCGATCCAAATTAATTATTTAATTCATTAACCTTATATAAAAAAATTCACATTAGAGAATTCAGGCTGCCTTTGGTGAGGTCTGTCGCTCTCCGAGGTGGCCTTTAAATGTTATTATTTAGTAGATGTGTGATTAATCAGGGTATTAAATGGTATACATAGGTAAAGATAAGATAATATCATCCTTTCTTAGATTACAATGTTATCTGCATTTTTTATTGATATGCAGTTACAGAGATGACTGAATCTTTGTAAGCGCACATCACTATCTAGTCACCTTTTGTTTTACACAGTTATAGCCACAATCTGTTCTAATTACATTTACTAGTTTTTCCTTATAATTTTTTTTAAAAATCTAATCTTACGTATCATTGTATGTATTGGTCTTGAAATGGCGCGTTTATTGATTGTACAATACAAATTCATATGATGATTAAATTAGCTTGGGGTTTTTTGACCGTGT